GAGCAGACATGGCCAGTTATTAATGCTACATATTTGTTGACCTTTATTGACTTAGGCCTTGTACAAATGTCCACAGGACAGAAAATGAAGCTTTTTCTATGTGTTTTGGCCTTTTGTCCACATGCAAATCAATCTTTTATAAAACTGGTCAGTGTAAAGATTTTCAGAGACTAAATAGTGCTTGTGTTCAGGGGGTTTCTTTTTTAAATTTAAGGAGGAAGAAAAACAATTTCCAAAACTGCGTGTCCTTCTGGACTTGGCCTTCCATTGAACCAAAACGTCTATATTTTCCACACTATTCTTAATAAACTCTCAGTGCTGTACTGTGTCCTGTGTTCTTCCTGTCTGCATGTATTTTTCTGATGGCATTGGATTGATGCACTCAGTCCACAGCAACAGGCTGGAGGCCAGACTGACCTTTTGCGAGCATGCACAAAGTGGATGTTTTTTTTTATTTTTATTTTTATTTTTATTTTTTATGTTTTTTCCTTTTAATTTCTTCTTTGTTAATTACATCTGGGTATGGAAGAACACATCATGGGATAAACCATGTCACACTCAAAACCATAAATCCTATGAGTAAGAACAACATTGTGTGTGGAGCTGTGTTAGACTCTACTGACTTGTAGCTGTCCTTGGACATTTTAGAGTGAAGAATTTTATTGAGGGGCTTTTGATTGTGAATCCAGCAGATGTGAATCAAAATGTGATAGTATTACACATCTACAGTTTCCCCAGAGTCACACACAATTAAATCTAATTTACTAGCTGCTCTCTGCTCTCCCAACGGTGCCTTCAAGCATTTGTTTGACATTGTTGGGTCACAATTAATATACACCATGGGGGTGTCATTAGGTAATTGCAGGCTGCTGTCCAAGTTATTTCTGGAGGAGTATTTCTTGTTATTGAAGCCAAAAACCTTTGTCACAATGATAACTAGAATTACTACCCTGCAGATGTTTGCCTCCTAGCACCAGTAAAGTGTCTCTTAAAGACATTTCTGTTCTCTTACAGTTTACATCCATGTCTGTGAAAGCATGGATGCTTCACACACGTCTTCAACCCGGCAGCACAGAAGATCTATACAATCGGCACAGTTTCAAGATGGACACCAAAGATCAGTGTCACCAATTCAGTATCTGACCAAATGTCTCCCCTTCTGTTCCTGAGTTATGGCATTTAGTAATGGCCAGGAAAGTGTTTTTGTAGGGCATTATGATGTCACAGTGAAGTTAACCTTTGGCCTTATAGACATAAATTGTCATCACTTTATGATTTTATCCTATTAGACATTTGTGTCAAGTTTTGTCATAATTATGGTCAAAAACATATATTGTGAGGTCATACTGTCCTTGACCTTTGACCACAAAATTCTAATCAGTTTATTCTTCAGTCATTCTTCCTACCTGCATTCTTGAGATATCACATTCACAAGAATGAGACAGCCAAGGTCACAGTGACCTTGACCTTTGACCAGTAAAATCTAATTAATTCATCGTTCAGTCCAAGTGAATGTTTGTGCCAAATTTGAAGATATTCTTTGAAGGTATTCTTGAGATTTCATGTTCACAAGAATGAGACAGAAAAGGACACAGTGACCTTGACCTTTTACCTATGATCATCAGTAACTAATCAGTTCATTGTTGAGTCCAACTAAATTATTTTGCCAAATATGAAGGAATTCCAAAAGGTGTTCTTGAGATATCACATTCACAAGAATGAGACAGATGAGGCCACATAAACCTTGACCTTTGACCTATGACAATCAAAATCTAATCAGTTAATCACTGAGTCCAGGTGAATGTTTGTGCCAAATTTTAAGAAATTGCCTCAGGGTCTTCTTGAGAAATCACATTCATATGAATAACAGAGACAACGTCACAGTGACCTTGACCTTTGACCATCAAAACTAATCAGTTCATTGTAAAGTCCAAGTTAACATTTGTGACAAATTAGAAGAATTTCCCTCCGAAAGTGTTTTAATGAGCTCACTATATAGTCCTCTATATAGGGAATTCCCTATATAGTGAGTAGGGAGTAGGGAGTAGTGAATGATTTCGGACACAGCCCAAGTGAATGTTTGTGCCAAATTATAAGAAATTCCCTTAGGATGTTCTTGAGAAATCACGTTCATGAGAATGAAACAGAAAAGGTCACAGTGACATTGACCTTTGACTTATGACCATCAAAAACTAATCACTTCGTTGTTAAGTCCAAGTGGACATTTGTGCCAAATTTGAAGAAAGTCCTTTGAGGTGTTCTTGAAATATTGTGTTCACAAGCATGGGGCGGATGGGCGGACAACCTAAAAAACAATGCCTCCGTCCACGGCTATCGCTGGTGTGGAGGCATAAAAATATGTGGGGGCAAAAAGACACTCTGTCAAATGACTACAACTTTTCTTTTCAATATTTGTCAATATATAAAGTTCTATCACCAGATATTTTTTTTTTCAAGTGATTAATGTATTCTATATTATGTATGTTCTATATTATGTATGGACTGTAAGAGAAAGTGTACAGCGAGAATTCTTCAGGGTGTTTTTTCTGCCTCATATATAAAACTCTTCAAACTCAGCAAATTGCCAATTTGTGTTTGTACCAACATGCTGTGACTCTGAACCAGTATCATAGCAACTCACTAAGGAGGATAATTGGTGAAGCTGGCATTATAGAGGACACTTCACATTTTAAAATGAACCTTTATAAAGTCAATACCAGTGCGGTTAACAGCTGATCTTCTTCTGCTCACTCCTCTCCATTATGTGCAGTGCTGTATTTATATTTTATAGGAGCTGGCCAAGTGAATATCGTAGCCTGCATCTGTTACAGTCCTGCACATACAACGAGTTGGTAAGTTGGTAACTGTCAAATTTGATTGCTTCTATTTTCTGGTGCATTGTTTAGCATTTCTGTGCAACCTTAGTTATATTTTATTGATGGATCTTTTTGACTAGTCAGAATAATTTACTGTGAAATGTGACAACTGAAACCATAAAGGCTTTGAAACATGGAGAACACAGTGTAGTGTTCCTACTGTGTTCCTTTCTTTATCTGTTTGTTATTACATTATTTGTTGCTCAGCTCTACAAAGAAATCTCTGAATTATTCTGAAGGTTATGGAACTATACAGCCGGGATGAAATGGTTACCTGTGTCACAACATAACAATTTAAAATTCCTGAAATTTGAAATATCATTAAAACCATATTTGATTGCAAGTCTTTGAAAAACTCACGGTAAATACTGTCAATCATCTACCAAATTTAGCAACAGCCTTAGCTGCAGGCGCAGTGTGCAACATGGGTTTGTTTTGCTATCCCCCTGTATACAGAGTGGGTGTGCAGCAGGCAAACCAGTGATACTACTGGTCCTTTGTCCTCATTAACAATGACACAGACACTGAAGGAAATGTTTCAAAGACAGACAATCGCTAATGCTGATGCACATTTGATGTGGTTTTCTTTCACATAAAGTGTTGACTAAGTTATCATTTTAATGTGTATGCAAACAAAGAGTGCATGGTGCTGCTAATTTAATTTGTGGTTTTCAAAATAAAACTTAGTGAAATGTTTCAGTGTGTGTATTAGTACCTTTTTTTTTTTTTTTAGCTTTTTTTTTTGCATATTTTAACAATTTTGTGATAATACTGATCACTGTAGGGTTTCCCAAACATTTATTTATTTGTGGAAGCCCGCCACTATAACACCATCTGCCGTCATGTATTTATTTATTTATTTTTGGACCTGGACCGTTCATTAGAAGCACTGTTTAAACATGTAAATCGCTCAGTTGGTCACTGCTCCACACAGGAATGCGGTGCATACTCATAGCACAGACGGAGAAGCAGAACACCAGGTGCAATTAAAATTAAATTTGACCATCTACTGGGCTGGGTCTAAAAGTTTGCTTTCACTCATATCTACAGCAGCTGCTCCCATCATCCATCAGTCTAATCTGATCAGCTCTGATCAGATTGACTCATCAAACATTCATTCCCTGACTAAAACTCCACACACTGCTGCTGAGGAAGAAATCCACCTGTGCTGCGTTCATGGACCTGCAAAAACCTCTGAATTTTTCTGTTGGGACACAGAGTGATAAAAAAGGACACATATGCCGAAAAAAAGAGATTTGATGATTTGAAATTTCCATACTATTTCATCTCTGCTTTACGGTATATGTTTTAGTGTTCAGGAATAAGCCCTGTGGAGAAGATACAAAACATCAATTATTTACATTTGAAAGAGCTTTGGCCCCAAAAGAAGAATTGATTGAAACTTCTATCAAGTCGATGTCCCCACAGGATCACATGATGGAACAAAACAGCTGTCCAGAAACACTCAAGTGAACCTTGATCATCATTGAACCACAACGGTGCACTTGGGTTCTAAATTGCTTGGGAACCCGTTATTCTTTAGGCCCCCTGCAGTCAACTCAGTTGTTAGATTGACTGGTGATTTCTCCTTTTCTTATTTAAGTGTTACTCGGAGGTATCGTTGTCTCTTTATCGCTTTTCAGTCTTCAGTTTGGTTGACCCGTTGTTCAGTGTTTTGTTCTCCTTGTACAAAAGAAACCCTCCATACAAAATCACATCCATTTGTAAAGAGGACACTCGACCAAGCTTTTGGGAGTGGAAAGAACAAACTTTTTAAAGGCGGTGTGTACAAATGACAAATGTGTGTTGAGCAGGTCCAGCAAAAACAAGATCAATAAGCCTAAATTTGCACGATGTCCACACTGTAGCTCACATAAATGGTGGATGTTAAAACAAATATGGCTAATGTTTAATCAGCTGATTTATTTAAGTAAGTTCCACCAGACTCTGTGTCAGGCAGCTCTCTCACCTGCAGCTCTCAGATGGCTCAGAGAACATGTAAGAAGTGTGTGTTGTGAAAACATTATTTAAAACGTTTTTGTTCTAACAGACACGCCCATGTCCTTTTTTGAAATCTATTAAATAATGTGTGTTTCTCTTTTTGCTCGCCATTTGATAGCATACCTCTGATGGAGCAACTGGCTGACCATGGAGGAATGGTGTTGCGTCTCTGGTAGAAAAGGATGTAGGCTCCTCTGGTACAGACTTCCTCCTCTGGCACCAAGTCAACACTGCTGTCATCGTAGCTGTACCACTGTCCGTCCACTGAGTTCCTACAGTATGCTGGATTAGAAAATGACAACAAGTATAAACCATGGACATACGTAACTTCATAGCAAACATGAAAAAGTGCTAACTTAATGTCAAGCAAAACTTCACTTTTGCTGCATGTTCATTATATCAAGCTTGGGTTATACAAAAAACAAACAAAAAAAAACAGGTTAAATTCATAGCTGGTTTCAACTTGTCGTAAGATTTGTTGTTGCCAGCCTTACCCTCTAACTTGTACAACACATTTTAAGTAAGTAAATCTGCTTTACTTAAAGGTCCTGAGTGTAGGATTAAAGGGGATATATTGACAGACATAGAATATAATAGGTATGTTTTCTTTTGCGTATAATCACCTGAAAATAAGAATTGTGTTTCCGTTACCTTAGAATGAGCCATTTATATCAACGGAGATCGCCATGTTGCACTGCCTTGCTTCTACAGTAACCCAGAGCAGACAAATAAAACACTGGCTCTAGATCGATCCATTTGCATTTTCACTTTGGCCACCGCAGTTAGAAGCTCCTCTGTGATGACAGCATTGCAACATGAGACTGCTTTACGCAGAGTTTTTACCTGTTTAAATCACTGGGTCCATTTGTTTTAGAGAGGAAGAGACCTCTGAAGATAATTCAGCTCCCAGTAAAAACTAGCACCTCTGGACCTTTAGTTATCAGAGAAAAAAGGTGAGTACACTTTAGCAGGTGCTAGGCTAGCAGCCCATCTGTGATACGCCAAACTGCTTTAGAGTAAGAGGAAGAGACCTCTGCTGATAATTTCGCTCACAGTAAAAACCTCCTGAACGTCTGGATCAGAAGAATGTGTGCACACTTTAGCAGGTGCTGGGCTAGCGGCCAACATGTAATGTGCCAAACAAGGCAGGAGAAACACTGATTTGTAACACGAAAGTACTTTATTCTGTGTTTATACTTGTTTCGACCACCTGGTCTGTTTGTCTTGGAGAGGAAGAGACCTCTGTGGATAATTTGGCTCCTGGTAAAAACCTCCTGAACAATGAACACTGAATGAATTTCAGCTGGTTGCATTTTGCAATCCACACTGCTAGATGCCACTAAATCCCCATAGATCTCACATACTGGACCTTTAAAAAACAGTGCTAAAGAAGTGGTCCAAACTTGACAAAACAAGACTTAGATATCACGTAGAGACAACGTAGATATGGTACACATACACATCACATACAGAAAACCCTCCACTAACCACCCCTTCAACTCATATGTAAAGTTTCAGTATGGAGGATTTGCTTCTGTCTGTTCATTTGTCCACCTGTCAGGTAATACCGAATGTACAAATTCTAAGGCTTCACCCATCAATTTTATTAAAGTGCATGCGGCTCCCATTTCCACCTCCATGCCATGGAGGACCCAGAGACAAGATGAAACTGTCTGAGCAAGCTGTCACAGCGAGGACATCTTCACCTTCCTCATCTCCTGCTGTCTCCAATACTGCTACATGTTCGCCTCAGCGCTGTGTGTCTTTGCCAGCCATCCTCTCCTATTACAGACCTGTTGTTCCCTCATCTGTGTGGGTCAAGTTTTCCATTCTGCCAGTCATCTGAACTTATTGCCTACATACTGGACTGTGTCCCCCAAAAGCTGGACGGATGTATTTCTAGACTAGCGATGGAAGTGACTGCTTCAGACTGTGTCAGGAAAAGGTTTTATTTTTAAGTCCACCACTTTATTCTGTTAAATTATTTTGTTATTACTGTACTTGTGATTCTGTATGGCTGTTCATGACACTTTATGTGAAAATAAAATATAAAAAAGCATATAATTGAAGTTTAGGTGACTGGGGGCCACTTATTAAGGTGAATGAGGGGATGAACTTGTTAGTGGTCCTAAATCCTTGATGCACCAGCAGACTTAAGTGCCGATGGGGCACTGTTAGCAATTACTGAAAATACATCACATATGTAAGGACATCCTTGACTACTTGCAATTACTGCCGGTGAGGGTACTGGGAAAGACCAGAGTTCATACAGCCAATGTCTAGTGGTCATTAGACACCCAAAAAGATTTTTATCCAAATGGACACTTTTCAAGCCATTTTTCCAGGGCTAAAATACTATATTTCTATGTCTATGCTATGCAGTTTAGTCCTGGAAGATCTGAAAAAATGTTTTTCAGAATGTTTGTCAGGTTTGAATAATGAAAAAGACTTTTTCCTTGATGGTATTTTCTCACTCCCACAGGATGTGGCACTGCTCATCAAAAGGACTTTTAAAACATCTCATCTTTTTGAAAACCTCATTAGGTTTCAGCATTCACTGAAAATACCCAAAGTTACTGAATAATAAAAAGGTATTACTACCACCCAACCAACACTGGCTAACACAATGAGACAGTGAGATTCTGCAGTAACTTATTGGACCCCCTCATACAACCATCAAAAAGATGGTTGTATGAGGGGGCAGATGACGTAAACGCCATCTGCTGATAAAGGCAATGTAATTTAACTTTGAAGTCCCCCTTCAAACATATTTTAAAGTATATAAAAATTGTAGACTGTATAAAATAATGAATGTGGCTACTGCAATATCACCCATTGGTTTGTGGACTCCCGTTTGGAAGCTTCCAATTTGGCATTTCGGTCCCGGTCATCTTGGTTTTCTGGAATCAGAAGTGACCATATTTGGATGAGAGGGTGGAGGTGTGAAGGAGCGAGGGGTGGATCTTACGCAGAGCCTGAGAGCACTATCCACAAACAGTCACTTTAAGGGGCCTTAGTCTTGCTTGTGTGTAACTTAAAGCCTCAATAAAATGTCAATGTTTGAGTTATATAGAAATTCACCCTCGCACTGTTGTCATGAGGGGAATATTTGCTATAGAAAGCAAAACTATTTTTTATACCAGAGTGTAAACATGCTTATTTGTGCTGTAAAGTTCGGCATTTTCACATGGGGTCTATGGGGATTTACTCGCTTTTAGAACCAACCTCAAATGGCCATTCATGGCACTGCAGTTTTCTGCACTTTTCCCACATAACAGTTAAAAAAAATTCTGAAGAGGGGCCTGAGGTTTTGCCAGAGCATTTCCCTTTGTTCAGCACTGCTCTTGCTAGGAACAGTTAGACCTTAGAATAAACATCAGAATTATTCAGCTCTAAATGTTTGAGCCTCAGTCAAATCCAGACTCAAATGTGGAGTCTGGTGCGTACCAAAATGAGCGACTAGCACACGCATCAGAATGGCAAGTGTAGTTAGTATCCTTTATTTGTTTATGTTATATGTTAGCTTGTAGGCTATCTGGCTGTGGCTGACACAGTATTAATGGTTGTGAAGTATAAAACAAAGCTGCAATGATGGGTTTTTGGGTCCAGTTTACCTTAAAAAGTGCATACTCTACCATGTTTACTGTCAAAGCTTTCACTATGCTAATGCTTACTCTGCTGATGCTGATCTTTGCACTGACAAGTTCACTCTGCGCTGGCAGTTTCAGGTTTCTCTGCTAGTGCTGTATTGAAGTCTGTTCCCCTGTAAATATATGTTTCCCATATTAGACAGCAATCGGCTTTCTTATTTTTGAAGAACCTAATCTAGTTTGCCCCAGGTACATCTGATTTGCAGATTATAGGAAAGTGCACAAACATCACCCCCTTCAGTAGAGGAATGTGAAAACACCTCTTTAATTACAAATTTTGCACAGATACAAGTCAGAATAGTCAAGGCTTGACATTTTAGGGGCAATTAACAAAAGAAAATCACATGTCTGAGTGGAGGAGGACTTCAAAGAACTGCTCTTCACAACTTTAGAAGAAGGGTTTCCATAGCTTTAATACTAAGGTTTAAGCTCTGTGTATAAGTTGTTTGGGACTAAACTAATTGCCCCTAGTGGGATTAAGTTTGTTTTGAATGTAAAAGATGAATTTATTGAATTTAATAAATGATAAGTTACAGCTAGTCAAATTCATTGGCCCAGTACATTTTACTGGAGGCATCAGCAAAGTGAAATTTAGAAATCTCTACTTGAACTCCTCCTCACTGACTTTGACTCTCTGAACAGGGTGTGACAATATCTGTTCTCTCTGCTCTCTGCTGCAAGATGCAGTTGTTATCCTTAGATTTGTTCTGGATCCTGATCACAACATAATCCCACCTCTCCGGGCTCCTAGCTTTCTTTTCAAACATGAAAAAGCATGTTGGGCTATTTGGGAAAGCTGATCATTAAATGTGAAAGAAACTGGGATCATACTGTTAGAAAAATATAGATGTGCTACAAAGGAGTCGATATGAGCACTCAAAACTGAAAATCAGTTAGCATTTAAGTGCAGCAGTTTGATGTGTTTTACATAATTAAGCATCAGCGAATAAACAAATTATAGACTGGAAAGGAAGTTATTCACTTGAAACAATTAAAAAACAATTAAGTTCCACCTAAGATTATTTGATGATGCATGTGAAAATGCTGGTCTGATCAACAGCCAGAAAAAATAAACACCTACTGTAGTCAATTTGTTTTCAGTGGTATGACGTCAAGGACAGTAAACAAATGCTCATCTTTGCAAAGGTGCATTCACATAATGTTACTATCTTAGCTGATATAAATATATATGCATTTTCTGTCAGATAAGCAACAAATAGATTAATTGTTTCAGCACATGTTCATTCATTTGACAGTGTAACAAAGAAAACCGACTGAAACCGACAGACAGGGTTACTACATAGTGAAGTATTTACCACCAAATTCCATACCAGTATAATGGCCTCCGTGCATTCCTCCATGATGGTTACACACAGCGTAGAGGTCATACAGATAGTCGTGGGGGAGGCTCATGTCAGCAGGTTGGTGGTGTTGGCCTGAGGGCTGCTTCCAAGGCTGTTGCCAGGCCCCTAGGTGCAGGTTCCTCATACTTTGACTCCTCTTTACCACATGGGGGGCCATGTCCAAACCAGTCAGGGGGAAACGCACCAGGGTTGACAGCTTGTTCCTTCGCTCGCCTACCTGTTTCAACATACCCCAGTCATATGCATATGTTCAGGTATGAAAAATAACACACATCTTTACATGAAAATCTATGAGGGGTGGACCATACAGAAATAAATGTATCACTAAATTGAATTAAGAGCTTTCAAATGAAAGTTGCAGCAAATAAAATTAAAATTAGAATAAGTGCCTCATGGTTGTATGCCTTTGGACACCACACCAGTTGCACTTACGATTTACATCCATGTCTGTGAAAAAACATGGATGCTTCACACACATTTCTATCTATACAATCAGCAAGATTAGTGTCACCATTTCAGTGTCTGACCAAATGTCTTCCCTTCTATTCCTGAATTATGACACTGAGTAGTGGCCAGAAAAGTGTTTTTGTTTTTTTTGGGGGCTTTTTGCCTTTAATGGACAGGATAGAGTGAGATGGGGTGAGAGAGAGAGAGCGGGGGTTGACATGCAGCAAAGGGTTGCAAGCTGGAGTCGAACCTGCGACCGCTGCAGCGACGCATCGCCTCTGTACATGGGGTGCCGGCACTATCCACTACTCTACTGACGCCCCGTGACCTTGATCTTTGACCCTCAAGCACTAAATTCTAATCAGTTCTTCCTACAGTTCAAGCGGGGGCTTGTGCCAAATTCGAGAAAATTCCCTCAAGGTATTCATAAGATATCGCTTTCACCAGTATGTGACGGACAAGGTCACTGTGACTGAACTTTGACCACCAAATTCTAACCAGCTATCCTTGATTCAGAGTGAATGTTTGTGCCAAAATTGAAGAAATTCCCTCAAGGTGTTCTTCGAATATCACGTTCACTAGTATGAGACAGATGAGATCACAGTGACCTTGACCTTTGATCTATGACCACCAAAAACTAATCAGTTCATCATTGAGTCCAAGAAGACATTTGTGCCAAATGTAAAGAAATTCCCTCACGGCATTCTTGGAGTATCGTGTTCACAAAAATGTGACAGATGAACATATGGAAGGACAACCCAAGAACATAATGCCTCTGGCCTTGGCTATCACCGGTGCAGAGGCATAAAACTGACATGTCAAAGACTCAGGAATCACATGGGGAAGAAAACTAGCTGCACAGGAGTCAATAGGTTGAAACACTGAAGCATGATGATGGACTACACACAATATGTATAGAAACAAATCACAAAAATCTCTTTATATATACACACAAATCCAACTTTTATGCTACACAGGAGAGCTACAAGAATGGTAAACAGAGATAATTATCATGAACCAACCAACAAATTATTTATTAACCCACATGCTCTCAAATTTAGAGATATGGTGGACTTTAAAACTATACAATTTATGTACAAAAGTAAGAAGTAATGACTTTGAGTTGTAAAGGTTGCATAAAAATACTGCACTAAACTAAACTAAAGAAACTAAAAAAAACTTTGCTTATGACTTCCTGTTGTACTCCTGCATGTGATTACTATTGACTAGACATGCAAGAAGATTTGAAGCCACTACGAGACAAGCAGCAGCAGTTTTCTGCACAGTGTGATTCAGTATGGGTTTTCCTTTTACAATCGAAGACCCTTTCCCCACCTGGGACTGACACCTTATCATGATGCAAGGTCCTGCATGCCCCCACAACCTTAGAAACTGTGTTGTGTGGATCAATGGCTTCTGGGTAAGTCTCCTGTGCACAACTGTTCCTCAGCCCAGAGTTCAACAGAGTGACTGACTGAATTATAACAAGGAGCCTGAGAATCATCATCTTGGTCAGAAGAGGAAAGAGTCTGGCTGGGGTTTGACTCATGGAGCCTGACTAAGCTCAGGGCTCCACATGATGCCATCTGCTTGTGAGAGGAGGCAGAGGGGTGCCAATCAAGCACTGGGCAAAAGTGGAGGCATAGCTTGGACATTCCCTTGGCTGCAAAAATGTTTGGTTTTTTTTTGCATGAAAAATGAGCCAGAGGTTGTGTGGGAGGTAGAATGGTGCTAGATAAACTTTTACAGGCAGTGCCTGCCATGAACTGATACACCCTGGTTGACCTTTGGCCATCAGACAGGAACGTGCACAGATAATTTGATGGGCAGTCATTTAAAGGTCTTGTGTTTAGGATTTAGTGCCATCTAGAGGTGATGTTGCAGATTGCAACTAACTGAAACTTCTACTGTAAGGCAAGCCTGTCAGAGAGCTATGGTAGCCAATGCAAAAATGCAAATGGCTCTGTCTAGAGCCAGTGTTTGGTTTGTCCATTCTGGGCTACTGTAGAGTGACATAGCAGACTACTTAGACAAGGACCTGCTCTATATGTAGATGTAAAGGGCTCATTCTAAGGCAGGGGTGTCAAACATACGGCCAGCTCAATGAAACATGTTAGAATTGCAGAGAAGAATGCATGGCTATTCCTATTTGTTCAAATGAATCAGTTCCTATTTCTTCACAAAGGTAAATGGGAAGCCAGTAAGCTTGGTATGCCCACAGCTCCTTACAGTGCTCAAGGAATTTTATATTTAGCCCCACGCTCAAACTCATTATGGTGAAAAATCAAACAACTTGCAAGATCAACCAAGAGCAGAGAAGATTAATCGTTGACAGGTGTGAGGAAACATAAGTCTGGTTTTAGTTTTAGTTGAGAGATCAGCATTGCACCTGTGAAAGCTCGCTACCATATTGCTAACGAAACAGCGTCATCATCAAAGCCATACTCTGGGGGTGAGTTTGCTGAAAAACAGACATATTGTTAAAATTGCGCTTGTTTTTCTTTCATCCTTCAGCTTTCATCTCAGGTTGTTCATCATCTGTTTTGAAAATGGATTGTTCATTAATTGTTAACGTTTTCAGAAAGCTACTTGTATTGTTACTTCTTTAAACAAAGGGAAAATAAAATATTTAAAGGCTTTGTTATTTTCAGGTTATTATGCAGGTGCTTCACTGGTCTGGCCCACTTGAGATCAAATTGGGCTCTATGTAGCGCATGAACTTTAATGAGTTTGACACCCCATGATCTAAGGTAACAAAAACAACAACCCTTAGTTTCAGGTGATTATAAACCAATTACAACAATTATGAATATTTTGTCAGCCACTATATTCCCCAAAATCCTAACTTGCATTTGCATACACTTGGACAATTAGCACCTCTAAACAGTATGTTTAACATAGAGACGAGAAAATTCTCTCAACAGAGTATAATATCCCCTTGTTGTATATGAGTCATTAAAACTGGGGGACTCAAAAGAGACTGATTTAAAAAAGAATGATCAAAATGTTAATAAAGGCAGTGCAGTGAACGCTGGACAGCAGCAGCAGTTTTGTGTGAGAAAGACAACTGAAAAATAAGTCCAAAACCCCACATCTCCAGTTAGTAATACAGACTTTCAGTTCAACAATTTAAGCCTCCAGCCTTTTGCTTGTATGGCTGGTTTGGTTTCCTGACTGAGGAGCTAATGGTCAGAGTAATGACCGACATCAGGAAACGTTAGTACACTACTCAGCCTAATTAAATGGCTTTGTCTCAAACATCTCCTCCTCTCTCCCTCCCAGGCCTCCATCACCTGGTTTAGGTTACAGTTTGTGTTTTGCTTGCATCCATCACACACTTTACGCATCCATATGCTGCATTCATTACTGACCTGCTAATTAAACAAGGACAAATTAGGAATTAAATGGTCACACTGTACAGTTTTGGAAACAGCAAACATAGCTGCTGAGGGAATCACCCACAATATAATTAAAGGCAGATTAGGTATGGTTCATTCACACACATACAAAAAAGAAATGTGTATTGAGAAGTGCAGATTTTCTCCTCCAGTCAGTCACTGAAAGAAATGATTGCCAGAATGAAGCAGAACAGCAGCAGCATAAAGATAATTATTCAGTCTGTAGAGGCACTTAAACCAAACTTTACCAAACAGGAAACAGGGCAGCAGCTCGTGCCACTGCAGCCACTATGTGTGGACGTACCTGATGTCAGACATGTGGGGACACTAACGAGTCCCCTGTGACTGCTAATGTGTTGGAGTTTTTCCCAGAGAATGACATAGCGGGCCAGATGTGACTGTGTGTGACTGTGTATTACAGGTAGAGGGCTGTTATTATTGTTGGTGCGTTTGAAGCATAAACCTTTTTTTCCACTGTAGACATTTTAACTCGTCACAGCAGGAAAAGCAAGTGTTACTTAAATATTAATGATGCCACTTTTCTATTCAAGTGCTCCCATAAGCTATTACAGTGTCACAGTGAGCCAGCACGCACAAAACAGAGACCCTGACACTGGAGCATTCTGGATGGCCGTCAATTGTATTCATCATGAATTTTATCATTCACACCTGTGCTCCTCGCAGTGTGACATGTCAAAATGTCTTCTTATTTCAAAAACACACTTACAAGTACACTTAGTGTTGAATTGGCACATAGCTTTCGGAGATAGCTACACCTTGAAAACCTAAACAGGGAGGCTTTGATGTTGACACTGGTACAACCTACAGTACCTAGTCTGAGTCTCCATCAAACAACACATTTTGCTGAGGCAAAGCATTGGTTTATTTTACCAGGGATGTGGATTTGCTGACCTGCTGTATATAGCCCAGCAGTGAGGATAAAATCCTGGACATGGCAGTCATGCCCTCTGCGGAGGAAGACAGCACAGCATCAGTGGCTGTCACGCTGCAGGTAATTATTACCTCTGCAGCGGAGGTTATATTTTCAATTTGGTTTGCTTGTCAGCATGATTATGGAAAAACTACCAGCCCAATTTTCACAAAACTTGGTGGAGAGGTGTAGCACGGGCCAGGGAAGAACCCATTACATTTGGGATTGGAACTGAAGATAGATAGATATACAAATTAACATTGCGTTATTGGCCTTGGTGGAAGTCTATGCTCTCCGAGTGCTTCTCTAATTACCAGATAGCACTAGTGCTTGTCTATTTTCTTTCTGTTTGGCAGGTGATCTTTATCCCCAGAGATGAACACCAGCAGAATGCTTCCCATTGATCTCATTCAAAAAACACCTGCATTCAATAAACAGTCAGAATGCACAAAACACCACTCTGTGTGTGTGTGTGTGTGTGTGTGTGTGTGTGTGTGTGTGTGTGTGTGCATGTGCTCCAACGCCTCGATGGAGGATATGTGAGTTGACCCCTTTCATACTTCCTCACTGAAGTTGTTAAAAAGCTTCATAGCTGCGAGATGTCGAGGGTGGCTGAGATTCACCAGGCAATGCTGGATGCTGACGGGCTGTAACACGCGTCTTCAATAATGCATGGTGATCAGGGACAATGCCTGTGGCAGACGGTGTGTTGGCGCACATTTTAAAAAAGGGGGTAGAGGGGTGGGGGGGGCAGAAGCTATGTTTCAATGACACTTCTGTCTCCAAGGGTGCTGGAAAGAAAACCGGCTGTTGAAGTTCACATTCAGGACGGGCAATTTTATTGATTTTATGTTGTGCTAAGCAGATGCAAATATTTCCGCAATATTCCCATCTAACTAGGCGACACTCTGCCTTGCAGTGTCCACTTGACAGTCTTGCAGACATTCAGCACCCATTATATCTTTTCAAGCTGTCATAGCCTGAAATGTTTTCTTTGCAGAATATTTGATGCAACAGTTCATCTGAGAGCATTTATTTCACTCAGTTAGTTACTGAATTGATTCAGTGCTTTATTTTGTAACTTCCACTCCTCACAGAAACCAAGAGCACAACAAAACATACAAAAGCATGGATACAATTCTAATAATCCGTTCTGCTCCTCTGAAAGCTGCATTAATTGATTTTCTGGAGCACTTAAGGGCAGCAGAACAAGCTGTTAGCACAATATTTATACTTACTGTCACCTTGTAAAGTTGTTATGGGTAATGTGTTAATTAGACAATATGACACGACAAGGAGTGCTATTGTACTGGATATTAGCATGGGTGTGATTTGGTCGTAGCAGCTCATGTTGCTTTTACACAACAGTTCTAAAAGCACCATTTATTATTTAAGAGTAAGAAGCAATAACAGGTTATGATTTGTTTGTTTACTTAATCATTTATTCTGCTAAGCAGATGCAAATATTTCCGCAACTGGACCAGGGCAGGACTGTTCCCAAGCAACACATAAACACACACTAGCTTCACACTTTGTGTGAGCTAGGTTTACACAACACCACAGGTCAGCTGCTTTGTATCATGTCATTTGTCTGTATGTTTTCCATTTATTGTGCTAGCAGTTAAGTAAGAGTTTGTTGTCACTTCAGTGGCATGTGTGATCCCTACAAGTTAACAGCTTCATCAGACTTGTATATAACTCAGTGTAATTGTGCGTACATAAATACATCTATGTATGCTAATTTAAGTGCAATAATACCTGCACACACATTTGTATGTGCTATAGTGCATTGTGCAATATAAACTAGCACTTCATAAACCTGTGCAATCGGGCGGTGTGCAATTCAATTAGCACTTTAATATGGGCAATGTGCAATAATATTGGAACTAAGTGGAACTAATGTTTTTTTCAACCTGGGCCCTATTTTCCGATCTACTTTTGTCTAAATGAGTGATAGGATGTTCAATATTTGACATTTCTCCAGTACGAAGCTAGGGCTGACCTGCCTGCAGCCCGTGAGTGTGCGCTATATTAAATAATAGGGCACTCAGACAACGTCAAACAACATCAGAATATGTCCACTAAAAGTGCATTTTTTTTAACACTGATAGGGTCGGACTGTTAGTATAATTATCCGACAACAAAACGGAAAGGAGAAATGAACGTCTGTGTTTACCTTTAGCTGGATTCTGACATGTTCCTCTGCCTGTTGCAAATTTAGTATATGTGCTACCGAAGTAATACTGCTCCCTCTCTCTCCTCGTCCGCTCTTCAATTTCAATGAGCTCTGCATCCATGTATGTCCGTGTACTCCGTCGGAAAATAGGGTCCAGGTGGGAAAAAAAAAAAAAACCATTAGTTCCCCTTTAACTTGCACTCCACCCCCATTTTGTAGCAAAAACGCCTAAAATGACATACCCAAATTAAAACGACTGTAGCGTCTGAACCGCTCTGACTACATGCACACGAGGACTTGCCAGAAAGAAAACTCTCTGAAGTTTCTTGTGAAAGTGTCAGAAGCAATCTAGGTGATACCGAGACAGAGTAATGGGCCTCTGAAGTCAGTAAAAAATTGAAGATTTTGCCTAAAATAAAATAAAAAATGGATGAATAACTGTCTGTGGCTTAATCTGAGCAGGTAAATGACCTTATGGGGCTGTAGGTACACGTATCAATGAACATTTGTTTCAAATTTGAAGAAGATTGCTCAAACATTCTACAGTGTTTTTTCCATGAAAAGATCTAGGCGGAGCTCCAAATGACAAGAGCGGTCACTCTGCTTCAAAACAGTACTATCAGTGATCAAACAACACTCTAATAGGCTAATTAACGGTTAATGTAATCCGCTGTAAGGTGGAGTGATACATGCACAGTTAAAAGTCACAGTGATATTGTACTCTATATCAGCATTCATGGAATGCCATTTGTTCACTCAGATTACAAACTGTTGCCCTTTCACATATCCAGCAAACCTGGGAAAACATTAGCATTAATTTAGTTGTTTTTTGGAGTTGTTGTTTTCTTTAAGTCTTGTTTTAGCCATTATGTGGTCTGCCTCAATACCTGAGGGAAATATCACTCTCTTTAAAGTTCTAATGATCACAAGTAGTTGCTAAATTTCCTTGTTTGCTATTGTGCTAAACAATGGGCTGAAGGATGTGTAAACACACTGTAGAGCTGTGGGGAACTTCTGATGATAAGTTTCTGTGAGTCACCCCTTTCACATTGCACATAGTTATTTTCAGTTGCTCAAGTTTCTGAGCATTCAGAGCATTAATATAGCAGCAAACCACTATTGCTATGTCAAGATGTGGTGGCGTCATGGTGCCCTGAGCAGATATAAAGTCTTTATTTGTTATGATAAGCAAGTCCGGCCATGTGTACATGTTAGTGTACATGTGTATCCCACTGGCAAGCTCATCTTTGCTGCTTTGCCCTGGGATCCTAAGGCTAAGTAACTGCTGATATTAGGCTGGCTTCATCACGTAAGCATAGCACCCACCCTCAAGTTGTGCCCTGGTTAACACTGGTTAACACCGTTAGCTTTGTCAGCACTGTTGCTGTTGTTTAACGCTGTTTATGGAGTTAGCACTGTTAGCTGCTAGCTCAGCTGCCTCCATGTTGAGGACCATGTCCACACAACTCAAATGCTCTGAAATTAGGGCCTCTTTAATTAAAAAAAATATCACTTACTGCAGCTTTAACAGCACCATAATCAAATGCACGTTTAACTGGAGTACCTGTCTTCACCAAAGGCCACTTTACGGCTCACCTACCTGTCGGAAGCGCTTGAGGTGGAGGATGAGTATGTCAGGGAGAGTCCACAGGCTCATCTTCACCATGCCCTGCTGAAGCTGCTTACAGTGGGGACACTTCCAGGCATCATCTGGGGCAAGCTGGAATCAGTGAAGGCATCAATTAATAACAGGGCTACACAATTCAAATGGCATTGCTGGTAGAAATGTAACACAGCTCCTATTTGTGGTCATTTAACCATGTATTTTGACATGTTTACTTTACATGATTTGTTGTTACATGGAAGTCGGATTTATTCATCTGTTTTTCATTAACTGCTCTGATCAAAACCCCATGAGATCAAAAGTTTTTTGTTTGCCATGGCCCTCTCTCTGATTAAAATTTGCTCTGTGTCCTTGTTCTATTAATGAGTCCCTGATTATGTTTACTTCCCCTTTCTTTGTCCTGGTTTTTCATCTACCTAAAAAAAGAAAAAAAAAAATCCTGAATAAGAAACTGAATAAGAAACTTAGTAATATTAAGTGAGCAATGATTTTTTGTTTTACATGTGTTTTAAGAGTGGAGTTCTATTTCACAGGCATCAAAAGCTTGCCTATTGTCTACTTGCTTTATGGTTTTAGAAGCTCTATACTGCAAACTGAGGACTCCTGAGGATAAAGTGCAATGACCACTGGTGTTTGACTGACAGCTCAAGGACATTTTCCCACCAGTTATGCTTGGAAAGTTTAGATCTCTTTAGCAGAAATGTTCCTTGCCCAGTATCCTTCACGCTGCTCAGTTTGACTTCACTGAAAAGATTCCATTTAAAAATGAAATGATCTCTTGCAAGACCACAGCATTTTGTTAAAGCACAATGACGTCTACATCATTGTCAGTTCACCCCAGTCTATATCTGCCTGTTGTTGCTATGGCTACAGGCAAGGCTCCAGGGACTCTTTCACAACTCTGTGTCTCTTTCCCAAAAGTGCTGTATAAGATGTTTAGATTCTATTTTATGACATGAGATCAGGAAATTAAATTTGCTTGTTTCATAGTGGTGTGTCACGCAACAAAACATAATTAGCTCAGAAGAAGAGGAACTTGCTGTAGGCTTTACGATCCTGTCCTTCAGCACCAAAGTGCTGCTTGAGTGAGCTGCGGGAGTTAGTGGGCAGCAAAATCGCATCCTGCAGCTCCAACATAATAATCACCAAAATGAGTACTTGTTGTGCGGTATTCAGGATGAGAGAAATGACAAACACAAACATGATTGCTTTGCCACTGCACATGTGTGAGTGTGTTAGAGAGAAAGGAAGAAGGAAATAGAAATGGAACAACCCTATTCCCTTGATTGTCCCCTTGTTTTCCCCAACTTGTGTCTTGTTCATATTTCATAAAGAGATTCAAGGGAAATAATGGGGAAGGGGAAATCAGGGCTTTTGTAAAAACAGATTTCCTGTTGCAATAAAGTGTTATCTGTGGTGACAACAGTTACTGACGATGTCTCCATAGCTTGACCATATGTTGGTTTTGGTCTCTAACTGTTCTGTGGCATCTTGTCACCTGTAGAGTTAGTGTTTGTGCAGATAATGTGAAGCACTGATCCACTGTTAGGGCTGTTATCTTTTGAAGGAATGTCCTTCCTTCCTGCAAAATGGAATATGAAATGTCAGCCTCCGCATGTTGCCTCTTTAAACCAACGTGACAAGCATTCACAACAAAGAGTGCAGATGAGTCAAACTATAATCACATTTACTTTTCAAATGACAATTAACTAAGATGTTTTTCACCAGCTGTCATTAACTCGATGTTGTTTTTATGGCAGTATGAGCACAATGCACGATGATACATGTCAAAGGCTTTTGCTTGCAGAGCTAAGTGGCAGAGGCTGCAACAGTAGTGGAGTTTTTCTATGCCACAAAAAGAAATCTCAAATCAAAAACAACAGTAGGTCTACTTGAGGACAGATTTTATGCACACAATCTAAGCCATTTATACTGGCAGGAAGCAATTGCCCTCCTCTATCTGAATGGGCATTTATATATATAAAAAAAAAATTACTGAGCACAAATGCTGTCATCCAGAAATTCCCAGCTCCGCAGTGACAGTTAAGAGACACTCAGAGTAAGTATTTGATCCTTGCATTTTTATCTGAATCTAAAATATGAAAAGGTTTTTCATCAGTAAAGATCAGGTCTCAACTTTTTGCTCTCCGCCCTCTATCAGCTCTCCATTTTCAGGCAGTGATTTTTTATCATTCAACCATGATGAACATTATATGAAGGCTTTTATCTGTGTTAAACTGGGGAAATGGCACCAAATAAATATAGATAGCTCAGGAGACGGAAGCACTTTAAAGACCCAGTGAAATGAAAAATACATTTTCCCAGTTTTAATCCTGTGTACCCGTGTTAACTGATCACATATCTCTTATTAAATGCCAAATAAATGTCAAAAAAAAGAGAGTTTTTTCACATAAAAACCCCTGCCTTTTCTCTTTCTATAAAACCAAGTAAAACTGTTTCCAAGCTTTAATGACTCATCCTGCACTAGGGCATTTACAAAAGTTCATCCAATAAAATGAGACATAGCCACACTGGTCACACAAAACCACACTTGGCCATTTGTGGGTTGTAGCAAACCGTCTTTGGGTGTAGGAGTTAAAAGAACACGGTGGAGAGAGATAAGGCGAGGGGGTTCCAGCAGTGGGCAAAATCTTTGTTTCTATTTCAAAAACAATGTGGCTGAGATAATTTATTCACCTCTCCCTTGTCCTCCTGATCTAACAGTGAGGAATGTGTGTGTGAAGCTGACAGTATGGTGTAGCTCCATAAACTCTAAAGGATTTGATTTAATTCCCTCTTGTAACTGTACACTGCTCAATTAGGGTGCTACAGGGGTGACGTCTTTTTGCTGGCCAACCTGGTAGATACCATCACTCTGGATCACTTGTCAAAAAGCCAATGGGATTATTCCACTGAATTTTGGATTATTGTAGAAAATAAGCTCTGTGGCAAACAAGCATTCATGATACTTACACGTTTTGTTTAGCAAGGTAATCTTCACGAACCAACACCGCCGCTTTTTTAAGCATAAATGCATTTGCCAGAAGTAAACAGCTAGCGTTAGGCTATCCACAAGCACTATGGTCACAAAACCGTCGCCACCACAATGAGGCTGTAAAGCAACCGTCTTTTTTAAGACATGTAAAGGCTCCAGTGGGGTATTTACTGACGTATTTTATGTCGTAGAGCAAAATGTAAAAGTATCTTCAGCTTGTGTTAACCACAGACCTTGTTTCAGGCATCTCACCAAAAACCCATTAAAAAAAAAAAAAAACTTATTGACTTCAATATGAGGGAACTGGGAGTGCTAAAATGCTGACTCATCTCTGTGTTTCAGGACTCATTTCTTGAACACTTCATAATCTAACTGGAAACAGCGTCACAGTGTAGAAAATAAAGATGCTTTAATGTCCTTATTATTGGGACTTTAATGAAATCCAATAAATCACTAGTGTTGAATAATTTATTTAGAAAATTTTGAGGAACGCTCCTTGTCAACAAAGATCTAGTCATAGGATGCTAAGCTTGGCTGGGAATGTAAAGTCAACATTAATAAACAGATAGTAAAGTGGAAAACCTTTGGCCAAAAGTGTAAAGATCAAGTAAGGAAGCCAAATCATTTGACTTGAAAGTTTGATTTGAGAGATATGTAATATTTAAGATAGCAAGCTGAACTGAGACTTGGCAGCATTTGGTTATAGAGGCAAGAGAGCCAAGAAGATACAATGGATTTGATGTTCTTTAAATTTTTTACAAATGGAAGTAAGAAATCAGCCCTTTCTATTTCAGTGTAGCCATTGTCTTGCAGAACTTTCTGTTCCTACCAAAAAGCTTAAGTGGTACTTGAAACTGTTGGAAAGGAAGAAAGCCATTAAGCAAAATGGGAATATAAACCTTGAAATTTTTATTTTGAATGTTCTCTTTTCAATTACTGGCTGGTTCCTGTATTTACCGTGTCATATACGGATGGAAAAAAAAAAACCTTTGACCATATCATAAGCACACGTAATCCATTAATTTACCATATAAATCCATTAATTTGTCAAATACATACAGTATTAAATGTGGTAAGTTAGCTAGCTAGGAAGTTAGCTAACTAAGGGGAAAGGTAGGGTACTTTGAAAATGCTAGATAACATTGTGGGCTTTGTGCAAATTTAGGATTAAAGTGAACAGGTAATTTATAAAAAAAAAAAAAAGTTTTACAATAAAGAATGAATAATAATAGATTAATTAAAACTTATCAATAAGCTTGCTCTATCACATGGTAACAGCCAGCCAGCAAAAGCTAGCCGAAGTTGTTAATAAGTTATAAAGAGTGGAGTTCTCAACAAGACAGCCCCCCCCCCCCCCAAATGCCAAGTAACAGATTTGATTAAACTGGAAAACTGGTATATAATTATGATTTAATTAGGGGGCAAAATGAGCCACGTGAATAAAAATTGTTCTATTCATATTCATACACTCTAATTAGGTCTCCTTTGTGATCACAAACAGCAGCCAATCAGAAAGTGGTAATTTGGTGCCGGTGCCAAACAAGAAGCGTGATTTTGGAAATTTTGAGCGTCAAAAACATTTAATGCATTCTGGTGAATTTCTTATGCACCAATTAATGGTGGAAATGTCTTAATTAATGTGACAGAAAACACATACCTCAGGCAGCAGGTGACAATTCAAAATAAAACTGAGTATAATGCACTAAGCCTCTCAGGTATTCTGTATTGCTCTTAAATATTTATTCTCCTGTATTTCAGCTTTTCTCATTTAATGATATCTCTGCTGAGTCCACACACCTGTAGGCATGATTTACTCCTCTGTCTTCATTTGTGTCTTTTTTAGTAGAAGTAGAAGTAATCTTATCAAATGTGCATGTGGCAACTTTTCATGCCAATGACACATTAATTCATTTTCATTATTTTATAAATCACTGGACTCTAACAGGTCATTTCTGCTACTATTCAAAACACCTCCCACATCTCCCCTATAGTCTGTTGTGCAGTATGTTATTGCTCTGCGCTCTAGTTCCCTTTCACAGTGTCTGACACAACACTGTTTGGGATTCTCTCTGGATGCATCACAGTGTAGGCGATCAGATGT